AGGATCTCTTAAAATGGGCAAAAGTATGAGAACATCTGGGTCCCATTGGTATACTAATCAAAAGACATACCTTGCAGATAATGTCTTCAATTGTCAGGTAGATAATGTGCCCTTTCCTGTGAATGTTGTTCTTTCTCCTTGCTTGTGTGTTCAATGGCTTATATAGGCACTTTCTTAAGATGGAAGTTATACAAAGGCTTAATAAGAAGAACTTTCCTTAAGCAAAGTTCACCTGGCTAGCATCCAATGCTGAATGTCTAGTTTGCCAACAGAAGCAAACCAGGAACCTTCGTCATCTAGGTGCAGTTTCGTTATATTGTACCTCTTCCAATTTAGAGAGCTAGGGATGTGTTTTCACTGGACAAAATATATATTTTTTGTAGATTCAAAAACATAAAGACAACTATAAATTTTCCTCCAAGCCTTCCTCAAAGGACAGTGACAATTTACTATGGCAACTGTTGTACCTCAGACCTTTCAGAAATAATTAGAAACTTACTCTGAATGGATACCCTTTCCTGAGCACTCAAAAATGGTGGTTATGATCTAACACCTGTGGAATTAGTGGTAGACTGTCACCCAGCAACAGCCATATAGAAAAATGCAGTCATTTATCAAAAGTTCAGTGATTATTTTAGTTTAAAAACAATAACCTCCAATGTTGTTTTTAGATAGTCAAAAAAATCAAGGGTTCACAGAGATAGAAAGAGAAACAGGGATGAGAGGTGGGAGGGAAAGGGAGAGAGAAGGGAAATTGCATGGAAATGGAAGGAGACCCTCAGGGTTATACAAAAGTACATACAAGAGGAAGTGAGGGGAAAGGGAAAAATAATACAAGGGGGAGAAATGAATGACAGTAGAGGGGGCAGAGAGAGAAGAGGGGAGGGGAGGGGAGGGGGGATAGTAGAGGATAGGAAAGGCAGCAGAACACAACAGATACTAGTATGGCAATATGTAAATCAATGGATGTGTAACTGATGTGATTCTGCAATCTGTATATGGGGTAAAAATGGGAGCTCATAACCCACTTGAATCAAAGTGTGAAATATGATATATCAAGAACTATGTAATGTTTTGAACAACCAACAATAAAAAATTTAAAAAAAAAAGAAAGAGCTCTTCTCATTATTATATCTTAAAGTCAGCCTGTAGAGGTTTTTCTTTCTATCCTCAACAACCCGGGACTCTGTTAGATGGCTTAATCTGAAAGGGAAGAATGCTTCCACCTTGGCATATAGGATAGGTGCCATCAAATTGAAAGTTAAGTCTACCATTTAGGATTCAGGGATCTCTGCGACAGTTCAGCTCTCAATTACTATGTAGATATTTGGGTTACTGCTAAATGATGGTCTTAGAGAGGACATTCTGGATCCCAGCAAAAAAAAAAAAAAATGGGGATATATATCTCATTACTTCCACATTAAATAGTAAATGTCAAAGGAAAGTTACAGTATACGACGGCAGTTTCACTACATATTCAGACTCTCCAAGATTGAAGATTCAAATCATGAGGGAAACAATTTCAATAAGCCACGGTGCTAACTATGCAAAGGCAAACACTGAATGAGAACTAGAAAGAAGGAAGAAGCATACTAGCTATGCAACATGACAGAAAACAGACTGCTCAGCTATGAATATTTTTAAAATATATATATTTTAAATATATATATATATTTTTTTCTTGTCCCTCCCCTAATATGTGTTAGAAGGTCTTTCCTTACAGTCATATGTCTTCCATGGCTCCATCTACTAGAGAGCTCTTTTCTCAACAATATAACTCCTATCAGATGGCCCCAACTTTTGGACTCTTATTTTTCCATTGTGCTTCCAATATAAGATGGTAGCAATGTCCTGGTATTATCCAGCTCTAGACTTTCTCTGTGTCTTCTGACACCTTAACTCTTCTATCATCTCTGTAACCATCTCCTTTAAGTCATTGTAAACAAAAGACCTAAAGCAGTTCTGTTTTCCTACTGAAGTTCTTAACATTTTCCTAACTTTACCTAAAGATGTCAAACATCAGAGAAATTCACCAAATAACTGCTTTAGAATTTAAAAGCAGAGAAATAATTTCCCTTACCTACTTTTTCTCCCTTTTACCCAAAGGATACGTATAATATCCTCCTTTGCATATAGACTTTTGCACATAGACTAAAACTGTTCCCTAAATAAAGTAACAAACAAACTATTGGGGTGATATGCATGTATATGGTGGAACTCAACTGAAAAGCAAAGTCTGGAGTAATGGTAGAGCCTTCCTCTCATCACTAGTTATATTTGGCATCTTACCATGGGGAAAGGTACAGGAGGATATGGGGGAAGGGAAGAAAAGGAAAGTCATCATAAGTAAAACACACTGTTTCAAATCCAAAGTTCCATAATTGCTGCATTTACTGAGCCAAGGTTAGTATTTCATTCAGCTTAACCTCTCCATCTGCTCTGCTCCAGTTTTTCTGACATGTGAATCTCCCACCCACTAACAAAGAACCTACAGTCAGTCCTCAAGTCCTTTGGGTATAAACTGAGGAGTGGGATAACTGGCATCAAATGGTAGTTCTATTCCAACTCTTCTGAGCAATCTCCATATTGCTTTCCATTTGCACCAATTTGCAGCCCCACCAGCAATGTCCAAGTGTACCTTTTCCCCCATATCCTCACCAACATTTATTGTTGTTTTTATTCTTGATAATTGTACTCTTGAATGAGTGAGATGGAATCTCAGGATAGTTCTGAGTTCATTTCTCTAATTACTAGAGATTTTGAGCATTTTTTTAATATATCTGTTGATCATTTGTATTTCTTCTTTTGTGAAGTGCCTGTTCAGTTCTTTGCCCATTTATGGATTGGGTTACTTAAGTTTCTGGGTTGTTGTTGTCGTTGTTGCAGACACAATACCTTTGCTTTATTTATTTATTTTTATGTGGTGCTGAGGATTGAACCCAGTGCCTCAACATGCGCTAGACAAGCACTCTACCTTGAGCTACAACCCAGCCCTGGTGTTAAGTTTTTTGAGTTCTTTATATATCCTGGATTTTAATGCTCTGTCTAATGTACATGTGGTAAAAATTTTCCTCCCATTCTGTAGGCTGTCTCTTCACATTATTGTTTTCATTGCTGTGAAGAAACTTTTTAGTTTGATTCCATCCCATTTATTGATTATTGATTTTACTTCTAATGCTTTAAGAATCTTGTTAAGAAAGTCAGTTCCTAAGCTTATATGGTAGAGATTTGGACCTACTTTTTCTATTAAGCACAGGGTCTCTGTTCTAGTGTGTAAGTCCTCGATTATAAGAAAAGAAATAATGAGAGAGGACAAAGTGAGAAATAAGTAACAAGGACCACTGAATGTAAGCTAGGGAAGTGGCTATATTTTAAAAAGCAGTCTCTGTGCTCATGTAATTTGGATATTCCATTTCCTTCTCTGTGGTTTTAATCATGATAGTTAATTCTACAGTAAATTATATTTACTTAAAGAAAATGCATTTAAATGTTGTTTTGTACAATTAATTTATACTATTAATTTACAGATAAAGCATAGAAAATAGAATTATGATGGTACTATATATACTAATATAACTCAAATCAGTAAAGTGACCTAACTGTCTCTTTATTTCCACAAGGTAGTCAATAAATAGCATCTAAAGTGAATAAAACATAAACTGGAAACTGAACTCAGGTACATTATAATAACAGCTGCAAGAAAATTATAAGAAAAATATTAATAAAAATGATTATTCAGTGAGGATGAGAAGGCTTCACTTTATCCTATACCTAGGCTCTTAATTAAAGCCTCATTTTCTTTTATTGAATTGGAGGTATTACATTAAATATTTTAATGCAATAACAAAAAAGGAAATACTATGCATAAATGTATAATGTGCCTACTATATTATCATAGTTTTCATCACATGAAAAAAATCAACCTTGAAAAAAAATCAACCTTGCGTTTACTAATATGGTTTTATAAGCCATAAGCAGTTAATGAATAAATCAACACATCATTTCTAAGCATGATGCACTACCTGAAAGAATACTTACACCAAGAGAAGATGAAACATTCTTGATGACAATCACAACATCATCAAAAATTCTTAACTCTTATTTGCCTCTATCTCTAATACCACAATCCATGAATTAATAGTGAAGATAGATAAAGAGTAAAACAGTAATTTGAATATCATCCAAAGATTATTTTGTTAAGAACTTAGTATAACTTATAACTGTTTGTTTATTTTATTTGAATATTTATACAATAATTGATTCTAGTGTAAACCTTCAAGGGAAAGTTATTGATATTATCTAAGTAAATGCTATAATTTGAGTTTATAAAAATCTCTTCTTGAATTACTACTACTAACATTAGAATTATAAAAATTTCCATTTTACAACAAATGCCAGATGTAGAACTCTCTGGCAACAACCATCTTTATAAGAAAATTCATTATCTCAGCTAGAATTTTCATAACAAGAAATTAAACCCCTTGTACTTCTTATGTAATTTTCTTTCTTCTTAAATTTCATTTCATTGACCAGATAATTTTAATATCATTATTATACAAGATTTAAATTATTGGTCTAATTGCAAAGCAAAAATACTCCAGATACATACAAATTCTTAAATGAGGCATGGTTCTGTTGCATGTTATTCTAAAGGAAAAGAAAACTGAGAAAAGTTAGAAATTCTACTATAAAAAAGAGAAACTATAAGAGATGTTTTGGGAGTTATTTCTTTTATATAGCATTAATTTTAAGCAGAAAATTGAGTGTGGCACAGAGATGCTTTGAGGTGTCTTAAACACTAATAAAGCATGTGTCTCCAAATTAACTAGTTACTAGTAATAATTGTGGACTTCAATTTTCCCTCCATAAACCCAGAGGATTATTATATATAACCACTAAGTTTCTTTTCTAGTTAAAAAAATGATGCTGTATGAGTGCATGGATCTAAATATGTGAGAATTAAGTATAAGTTAATGTATAAACATGAATAAATATCATACCTTTGCATTGTCTTTCATCTTTGTTTTACATTTGTTTTGTTCCCTGGCTTTATGAAGACCTTTCTGAGTAGGACCTTCTGGCATATTTTCTTTTTCAATACTGTGTCCAACTACAAGATAATAAAATTTAATCTTAATTTTTGTAATATTTATTGTTTTAAAAAATATGATCATTTTCAAATGTTAATCATAGTATTATTAATACATATATTTATTAAGTATTAAACAAATGACAGTCACACCAACCAAAATACTTTAAGTGGGGTCTTCAAAATTCAGGTCCCAAAAATGCAGGGTGGCATTAGAGGTTTTGTGTATTTATAAATAAAGTAAGAAAAGGCCAAGGCAAAGAAAAAGAAATAAAATTTTCCAAGTGGAATTACATAATAAATACAAGACTTTTAAAAGGAGAATTTCATAATAATAAAATTGTATTATCTATGATTCTTGATGTTGAGAGAAACAGACAAGAAAAAACACAAGGTACTATTCACACCTAGTTGTAGCTCTGATTACCTAACTATCCAGGACTTCGGCAATCTTATAGAACCAAGTGTGTGTGTGTGAGGGGGGACTGTGATGGGAAAAGTCTTTTCTTTCATATCTTACCCTATTCACATTTAGGTACACATAATTTATACCTATATTTATAAATAAAAACTTGATTTCAAATAACTAATAAGGTTTTATTCATTAGCACACAAATAAAAGAAATTACTCAATGTCATAAATCACAACACTAGCTGGGCACATTGATGCATGCCTCTAAACCCAGCAGCCTGGGAGGCTGAGGCAGGAGAATAACAAGTTCAAAGCCAGCGTTGGCAATTTAGCAAGTCCTTAAACAATTTAGTGAGATCATTTTAAAATAAAATAGGTTAGGTATGTTTCTCAGTGATTAAGCATCCCTGGGTTCAATATCATTGGTGTCAAAAAAAAAAAAAAATCACAACGCTAGATCCATAATACAGAAAAGATTACATACACAAAAATGCATGGATGATTTCAATGTCTAGGCCCTTTTAACAGATCTTGAGGTTATAATAGCAAGGGAGCACACAACTGGCATTTATTTTTTTCTGGATATAACTTTTCCTATTAGTACCAGCTTTAGATAAAGCAGAAGATCCTCCAAATTACCTCCACAATAACAGAAAAACAATGTTCCATGAACCAGCATTACACAACAGAATTAGAAAGTCTTGAGTATCCAGACTGTCTGTCCTCTGGCAATGTTGCTACAAGTTACAGTTCCACAGTATCTTGGAAGTCAAAGTCTCAGATAAAGGCTGCAATTACAGCTTGCTGAGATAAAGAGAAAAATTTCACTTCTAATTCTCTTTTATTATAGTTGCCTCTTCAAAGACCAATTTTTCAACTGATAATAATTAAAAATATAATTAGCATTCATTCTTAATTTATCTTTTACTATGTAACAGCCACTGTTCTAAACATTATGTCATGCAATTGTGTCAATATTCCTCTGCAGGTCACACTGTCTTTTGTTCCCTTTATATACCTGAAGGGAAATTCATATAGTAATAAACACAAGGAAGAAAGGAGAAAGTAGTAAAAGAGAAACTCAGGATTCAAACAGATACTTGCATGAATCTAAGAAAGTTTCATGTCATATATAAGACATTACTAAGAATCACTTCATAAAAGAAAATTAAAAAACAAGAAAAAAACAAATTTGATCAGGATAACACATGAAAGTATAAAATCCAAAAGAGCTTGGCCTGTGAATGTATGTTGTTATTCCACAAGCAAAACAGAATTAGAAAAATGTATATTCTAATAAAATTTCATAAAAATATTTAACACTTCAAACAAAACTTGAGAACAAACATTGCAGAAAGTACACTATACCAGAAGAGAGATAATGTTCTCAATTATTTCCCACTGTAGAAAGAATGGACATTATCTCTATTTCCCATCAAATAAATATTATTTATTTATATAAACATTTTTACAACAAATGAGAGGCTCAGACATTAAATTTTGTACCATATTCATGTTTAAGTACATATAATTCTCAAATGCCACACAATACTTCTTAATGTTTAGTTCTATCCAAGAAAAGTCCATGTCTTCATCATAGCATCTTTTGTCCTATCATTTTATAATTCCTAATGACAAGGCCAAATGTACTGACTAGTGCGGCGCAATTTTTATGTAGATAAAATAATATTTTGCAGATATAATCAACATTTTAAGAAATATATAATTCCTTAGAGATAAAAACACACTCCAAATAAATAAGCACAGAAATTTTATTTATTGTACTCCAGTATGAAACTTCACCCATTAAATCATTCCTTTATTTATGTACACATTGAAACAATGTTCTTTGAACCTGCTGAGGACCCTGAATAAATATCAGAAAACTATGGAAAAATTCACTTAACAAATATTTATGAAGTACCTACCATTGCAAATCCCTGACTCCTTTATAGACCAAACACAAATATAAAGAGAAATATTAACTGTAAAAAGCTTTTGAAGAAATAACTCATAATTTAACCCAGAAGAATAAACAGAAAATGTCTGAGAGATTAGGACAGGTGTAAAGTGAAATGCAGAAACCAAGTATATACCTAATTAGAATTCAGAAAAAGTCAAGAGTTAAAGGAGAAAATATTTGAAAAGATAGGATCTCTAAATTAAACCATATAGTCCACGTGCAATTCCAAGAGCAACAAAACATTAAAGTTAAAAAGCAGCAGTTAATTTAACTTTGTGAAATAAAGATTTCTGTGCTTTACTATATGTGGAGTATAAAAAGGAGTACTATGTTCTCTTAATATAGGAGTACTATTGATGTGGTGTATTACACTTATTGATTTCCTTATATTGAACCAGCCTTGCATCCCAGGGATGAATCCTATTTGATCATGGTGCACGATCTTTTTAATATGTTTTTTTATCTGCTTTGCCAGAATTTTATTGAGGATTTTTGCATCTATGTTCATTAGAGATATTGGTCTATAGTTTTCTTTCTTTCAAGTGTCTTTATCTGGTTTAGGAATCAGGGTGATGTTGGCCTCGTAGAATGAATTTGGAAGTACTCCCTCTTTTTCTATTTCGTGAAATAGCTTGAAAAGTATTGGTATTAGTTCTTCTTTAAAGGCCTTGTAAAACTCTGCTATATACCCATCCGGTCCTGGGATTTTCTTGGTTGGTAGTCTTTTGATGGCTTCTTCTATTTCCTCAATTGATATTGGTCTGTTTAAGTTGTGTATATCCTCTTGACTCAATCTGGGCAGATCATATGCTAAGCCTCAGGCTAGCATCATTCTAAACGGAGAAAAACTGAAGGAATTCCCTCTAAAATCTGGAACAAGACAGGGAGGGATGCCCTCTCTCCACCACTCCTATTCAACATAGTTCTCAAAACACTGGCCAGAGCAATAAGACAGATGACAGAAATTAAAGGCATAAAAATAGGAAAAGAAGAACTGAAATTAGCACTATTTTCAGATGACATGATCCTATACCTAACGGAACCAAAAGGTTCTATCAAAAAACTTCTAGAACTAGTAAATGAATTCAGCAAAGTGGCGGGATATAAAATCAACACTCATAAGTCTAAGGCATTCATGTATATATCAGTGACAAACCCTCTGAAAGGTAAATCAGGACAACCACCCCATTCACAATACCCTCAAAAAAAATAAAATACTTGGGAATCAACCTAACAAAAGAGGTGAAATACCTTTACAACAAAAACTACAGAACCCTAAAGAGAGAAATAGAAGAAGACCTTAGAAGATGGAAAGATATACCTTTTTCATGGATAGGCAGAATTAATATCATTAAAATGGCCATATTACCAAAAGTACTCTATAGGTTTAATGCAATGCCAATCAAAATCCCAACGGCATTCCTCGCAAAAATAGAAAAAGCAATCATGAAATTCACCTGGAGAAATAAAAGACTCAGAATAGCTAAAGCAATTCTAAGCAGGAAGAATGAAACAGGTGGTATGCGATACCAGATTTTAAACTATACTACAGAGCAATAGTAACAAAAACAGCATGGTACTGGTACCAAAACAGGTGGGTAGACCAATGGTACAGAATAGAGGACACAGAGGCCAACCCACAAAATTCCAACTACCTTATATTAGACAAAGGTGCTAAAAGCATGCAATGCAGAAAGGATAGCATCTTCAACAAATGGTGCTGGAAGAACTGGAAATCCATATGCAACCAAATGAAACTGAATCCCTTTCTCTCACCTTGCACAAAAGTTAACTCAAAATGGATCAAGGAGCTAGGAATCAAACCACAGACTCGGCATCTAATAGAAGAAAAGTTAGCCCTAATCTCCATCTCGTGGGGTCGGGCTCCAAATTCCTTAATAGGACACCTATAGCACAATAGTTAAAATCAAGAATCAACAAATGGAACATATTCAAACTAAAAATTTTTTTCTCAGCAAGAGAAATAATAAGAGAGGTAAACAGGGAGCCTACATCCTGGTAACAAATTTTTACCCCTCACACTTCAGATAGAGCATGAATCTCCAGAGTATACAAAGAACTCAAAAAGTTAAACAATCAACAAATGGGCCAAAGATCTAAACAGACAGAGGAGGATATACAATCAATCAACAAGTACATGAAAAAATGCTCACTATCTCTAGCAATCAGAGAAATGCAAATTGAAACCACTCTAAGATACCATCTCATAAGAATGGCAGCCATTATGAAGTCAAACAATAACAAGTGCTGGTGAGGATGTGGGGAAAAGGTACACTTGTACATTGCTGGTGGGACTGCAAATTGGTGCAGCCAATTTGGAGGGCAGTATGGAGATTCCGTGGAAAGCTGGGAATGGAACCACCATTTGACCCAGCTATTTCACTTCTCAGACTATACCCAAAAGACCTAAAAAGAGCATACTACAGGGACACAGCTACATCAATGTTCATAGCAGCACAATTCACAATAGCTAGATTGTGGAACCAACCTAGGTGCCCTTCAACAGATGAATGGATAAAAAAAAATGTGGCATTTATACACAATGGAATATTACTCCGCACTAAAATATAACAAAGTCATGGCATCTGCAGGGAAATGGATGGCACTAGAGCAGATTATGCTAAGTGAAGTTAGCCAATCCCTAAAAAACAAATGCCGAATGTCTTCTCTGATATAAGGGAGGTGACTCAAAACAGAGTAGGGAGGAAGAGCATGAGAAGAAGATTAAAACAAAACAAGGAAAAGAGGTGGGAGGGTATGTGAGGGAGAAGGGGAATTGCATGGAAGATGGAAGGAGACGCTCATGGTTTCACAAAATACATGTACAATGGTGTGAGGGGGAAGGGAAGAAAAAATAGAGAGAGAGAGATAAATGTCACAGTAGAATGGGTAGAGAGAGGTGATGGGAGGGGAGGGGAGGGAAGGATAGGGAGGGCAGCAGAATACAACTGACACTAGGATTGCTGTATGTATACATATGGATGTATAACCAATGTGATGCTGCAATCTGTACACGTCGAAAAATGAGAATTCATATCCTATTGGATTCAAATATATGATATGTCAAGATCATTGTATTGTCTTCAGCAACTAATTAAAAAATAATAATAATAAAAATATATAGGAGTACTATATTAAGGGTACTTTGTTTAACTACAAAGAATATTTATTTCATTTGTAAAACTCTGATGTCAACATTCACAACTTTTCACTTTAGCAAAAATGTCCAATTTCGAGTTAGTCATTCATTCTTAATTCATAATTTTCTATGAAAAATTATGATATATTAAGATACCATTAGGGCTGGGGTTGTGGCTTAGTGGTAGAGCACTTGCCTAGTGCATGTGAGGCCCTGGATTCGAGCCTCAGCACCACGTAAAAATAAATAAGTAAAATAAAGATATTGTGCCCAACTACAACTAAAAAATAAATATTAAAAAAAAGATACCATTATATATATATATCATATTCTGGTTTGAAAATAAGCATTATTACATTCAAATGTCAACCTATAGAAAACTAAATTAATATAAATAACAAGCATAATAATCAAAACCAGCATAAACTTTTTAAAAAATGCATAATTCACAAAACTTCAGTTTTATCTCATATTATGTAATAATAAGTGTTTTCTGGGTAGTTCCTGGAAATATTTGATATATGTTACCTAAAAATAAAAGTAAATATAATCCACAATTGTCAGTTTAAGTATCTAATCAATAATAATTTATTACTTTATAATGTCACCTAGGAATTTTTTATTAATCTATCTATCATACAAGAGATAAACGCAAAACTAAAAACCCTTTTCATGTGTGAAGAGTAGGTATTAAAGTAACAAAATTCTGTGTGGTAGTAATTATGTGTGGCTTTTACAAAAATATAACATTGTCTAAAATTTCTATAACCAACATGGCACTTTATGGACCAAAAACAAAGTACATTGAAAATTCTTTGATAACTCTGCTCCAAATCAATCCACTTTTTATCTTATTTCCCACATTTTAATTAAATAACAATAATTTCTCTTCTTGCTAAAGTTCAGAGAAAAAGACAATTTGTTGTCCTCTAACTTCAGAGTGTACACATATGATTTGAAGAATCTCAACTGCCATACAAATTTATTCCCCAAATAAATAAATTGATGAATAAATGAGTGGATGACAGAGAGAGGAGGAGGAGCAGGAGGAGGGGAAGAAGAAGAGGAAGAGGACAGGAGGAGGGGGGGGAGGAGAAAAATTAAACTTAAATGAACAAGTGAAGAGAGAACGAATAAAATATGAAAATCATGATAAATAAGTTAATAATATATTTAATAGTTGTGGGGCTGAAGGTGTAGTTAGTGGTAGAAAATTTCTTTAGTTGAGGTCCTGGTTTTAATCCCTATCATCTCAAAAAAAATGTAGAGGATGGCAAGATTTATGAAGAGCCATCATTAATCCAACTTTTTAAAAAAATAAATCCCCTTGGTAAGTAATATCCCAAGTTCAGGCAACTGGAGCACCGAAAGAGTCTTGAGATCACACAATCAAATGCTGAGATCAGAAGCTTAGGAAAAGGTACTGCAACTATAGTATCTAAAACTAGAGAGTATGTTTATAAAGCACATAAAATTATTCAATATAGATTTTAAAGTATTTATTTTGTTCAGATAATTGGGATATGCAACTAAAAAAAAACTATTTCTTCACGTTGGGTAAGAATTCATTCCTTTCGACTAAGTCATTTCAAATTAGCACAGATCAAAACACAATTGCAAACTTGATCTTCAAAGTAATTTGTAAATTATCAGTCTAGAAAAACATGCAATATGTTCTTTTATACATTAAATTAAATACAAGGAGCTAATATCATATAGGAGCTATCTGAAATTACCACTATATTTTGATGAAAATGTCAAAGATAACTATATAAAATTATAAACTATTAGAAAAAGAATGAATGAATCATTAGAGATCAATGATTACAACAATCAACCCAATATGCAAAGTTCTTCAATCTTCAAGACACCATGTATATTCTTTTTTACAATTTTAGTCAATTAGGAATTGAATTCCTAACAGTTTTTGTTCTATAAGGCAGTTCTGTTTTTGTTTGATTGTTTTGATATTCTGATATTCTTGGCTTACTTTTGTCCTTTATTTGGGTAGTTTTATGTAAAGTCCTAAGGTACCCAGGTCTTCTTACTTAGCAAAACTTAAACTCTGTCTCTTCTAAAACTCATGTGTAAGCTTTGTTTCTGCTTTTATAGCATCAGTATAGGATACTGAATATTAATGTATTATAATAATGTGTGAAAGAGTTCTCCCCAACTAGGGATAGTTGGAATTGGAAATGTCTATCAATTCTGCCTGGCCTACAGAATTTCTAGTCTGTTCTTAGTCCTGTAGACTTTTATCCCTCTGTTAAGTCTCAAGTACTCTTGTTATATACATGCAGCCCAACCACCAGCTACAGACTTATAGTTACTGAGGCCACTCTTTTGAGCTCCCTCTTCTCTAAAGCACTTTCCTACAGATTCTAGTTTCAAAGTTATGAACAATGTTATCTGCCTTTTCAGTTTTCTTTTTGGCATCCATTTCCAAGAAGCTTGGCTTGGAAATTTCCTCAAGCATGAAGTCATGATTGAAGGTAGATCATTTCCTTCTGCAATCTGAGATGTCTGTTTTGCAGATGCTAATAGTTGCCTCATCTATAGCTTAGTTTTGGAGTTATTTATGAAGACAAAGCTAGTCTGGTACCTGGTACTCCATCATGATCAGAACAGAAGTTCTTCCAAGATGGCTGACTCACATAGTTCTCAAAAATATATCTATATATTATCATGTCTGCATTTCCTTAATTGTTTAATTAAAATTTTGCTTTGTGAAATAATTATCTCCCCACTTACTCACTTTCAAATATCTCTAGAATGTTGATCTCTAATAAGATTAAGAAATCTTCCCCAATATTAAGCTAGAATTATATTTTACTTTTACCTTTAATTTCAGGAATATGAAAATTATGTCCTATGTCTATGTTCTTCAGTGTTGCTTGAAGTCCAGAAATCTAAAAAGAAAAAAAAGTCAACTATATAGGTTTATGTACTAAATGACTTTAAATGGCTAAGTAAAATAAAAAGAAAAATATCAAAAATATTATTTCTCTTGAATAAAAGCCTATAATTTTAAATGTCAAACATGAACTTTAACAAAAGGAAAATAATTTTTAGTCAATATTGAATTCTGCAGGCAATTATTAATTATCATGGATAAGAAACTGAAACATTTATTTTACAACACAGTTTTATCATAATTCAGCTCTCTACTTTGAGAGAGGTTTGTCCTCTGTTTATATTTCTTCATGATAACTGATATCTTCTATCTATAAACTGTGAGGTTAAGTATTATTTGGAAAAGTAAAATATGAAAAGACTGTTTATACACCTAAACCTCTTAGTTCATTTCCACCCACAGATACTCCATTTTATTAAATATGTCTTATAATTAAGAACATTTGTTAGCTGGGTGGCATATCATTTAGATTTAAATTTAAAATCAGCCTTAAAAAGCTGTATCATCCCTCATTGTACATGATTATGCAAACACAAAAAAACTATCTGTTTAATTATACACAGAAATACATTTTTCTACTATCACTGAATAGCAATATTTCTTTATTAATAAAAATTGCAGATAATTTATAATCAATAGATTAGTGTTAACGAAATGCCTGTGATTAAAAAAAAGTAACAGATTAATATTAATTCTTACAGATCAGATGGATTATAAATTTTAAAAACAAAATTCTTATTTAGATAGCATAGGATTTTCAGAATAGTTGCTAATATACGGCCAAGAGTTCCTGTATGCCTACAGCCTTTTTCCCCTGTTAATATGCATTAAGGTGGTACATTTATCACAAACAATAAACCAGTATTAATGTCTGCTGAAGTCCCTTTCTGTTGGATTTTGTTAATTTTTATGTTCTAGGGATCCACCCATAACACTACATTACATTCACTTATTACATCTCCCTAGCTTTCTCTGGATCAGGGTGGTTCTTTAGACTTTCCCTTATTTTAATGACCTTAAATATATTTTTTATTTAAAAAAATATATATATATTAGTTGTAGATGAAACTTTATTTTAATATATTTATTTATATACAGTGTTGGGAATCAAACCCAGTGCCTCACACATGCTAGGCAAGCGCTCTACCACTGCGCCACAACATCAGCCCAGGGCCTTGAATATTTATAAATACTAATCAAGTAATATTTTACAGAATGGCCTTAAATTTGGGTAGTCTGATGTTTACCCCATAGTTAAGCTATACTTATAGGATTTGGCAAAGAAGACAACAGGGGTGAAATGCCATTATAAGCACAACATATCACAGGTATATGCTGCCAACATGACTTAAAACTTATTATGTTAACCTTGATCACCCAGCTAAGGTAGTTTACCAAGTTTCTCCACTCTAAAGTTACTTTTCCCCTTATATCTATTGTACTTTTGAAAGCAAGTAGTGAAGTACAGCCAGTACTTCACAGATAAGTTGCCCAGATCAATCTCCTTCAGGGAAGGATTATCTACATATATTATGTAATATTCTCCTGTATGGGAGATTTATCGATTCTCCTCCCACTTATTTATTCAATGATTTATTTATACCATTGTAGAATTGGAGATATTTATTTTATGCTTTGAGTAATAATCCAATACTACATAATTTATATTGTTGCTTAAATTGTGACAACTTTAGGATCCTAAAAAAGAAGAATCTCACTCAATTTTCTTCCCCTCATGTCCCACATCAGGGCAAGCTGATAAGAACCCCTAGTTGCTATTTCCTTGGCATTGGCAGGAAATTTAAATTATGCAAGCCCCTCCCTCCACATAAAAATGCTCACCCTGCCTAAACCCCAATCATAATAAAATATAAGCCAGTCTCCTTTCCCTGATCTTACTCATACATTTCAGAAATGCTTAGGGGCATATGCTGCTCTCTGAGACAACTCAATTATGAAAGTAATAAAAATTTTCACTTCCTTGCTGTGTGGAAGGTACTATTAGCCCTAATATCCAAACCAAATTTGAATGGAGATTCACCTAGCTCTGTCTACCATAGTTCCTTTATCTCTTGACAAATCCCATTGTTTTCTTGAGGTTCTTTTTTCTTTTCATTTTACAAATATTTTTAATAAATTCGTTCTGTGACATCATGACACACTGTAGGTTCCTATGGCTGTATACCCACACCTGATAAGTATGCTCCAACAGGAAAAAAAAAAACAAAACAAATTGGTTGGTAATAAATTGTTCTTTGTATGAGAGGTATCCAGACAGGTTCAGTTCCTTTTTTTAACATTTATTTCATTTGTTTATTTTTATGTGGTGCGCGGACTGAACCCAGGGCCTCCAGTGCTAGGTGAGTGCTCTACTGCTAAGCCACAGCCACAGCCCCCAGGTTCAGTTCTTTAAATGGTAACCTTGGCTTGTTCTCCAAAGACACACATGGAGAGATGGACTAAAACTACATTCTCTGCCCTAATTTGAAGAATCAACTAATTGATCCGAGGATAAATTATTATTATTGTAGAATTATATTATTATTATTATTATTATATATTATTATATCAATTAGAATGTTGTACAGAGAGATATGACAGTCATCTCACCAGTTAGTAACCTGAATTTAAAACTACAAGTCTTCCACTTGTTGCTATAGATATCAGACGTTTGCACAGCCTATCCCTAACTAGCACACAGATAATAATGAATCTCCCTCCAGTGCCAAGGAGATAGCACTTAGGCACCATCAATCTTGTGTAGTCATTTTGGATTTTGAAAAACATGTATTGATGTGAGGAATCATGTACAGTGCAGAACTTAACCTGAGGATGGTGACTGCTGTGGTCAATTTCCATTCACATGTATAAGACAATTCTAAAAGAGCACTGAATGTCCATTTTCAGTAATGTCCATACTGAAATCTACAGTGGCAGCAACAGGATTTCCTATTTAAATCTTGACTTTCTCAAATTGTACAGAATCTACTATCTTGAACAGCAGATGTGGATGAGAGAAATGCTATTTCTAAATCCAAACTGTTCCATTTTAGATATCAAGAAATAAGCTCTTCAGAATTTTTCCATTAGTAAGTATTTTCTAAATAGGGATTTTATTTTTATTTTTTGTTTTTTTTAGGATGAAGTGGAAGCCATTAAAAATTATCCTGTGGAAACAGGTGTGAGGACTGTCTGAGACAAATGAGGATATAGGGTGGGTTGTAATATAGAAGAAGACAGAAAAGGCATCCCATCCAATAGAACCAAAACATATAAAGGGGAAGTCTATGCCTGAGCAAGAGGTCAGACATAAGAGTGTGGGTTTCCCTCTCAAGTTAAAAATCCAAGTGGGCCTACTAAGAACAAAGTTCAAATAAAACTACATAGTCTGGGGATACTCCAAATAGAGGGTATACTTGCTCCTAGTTTCTCAGGAAATGGTGTAGGAATGATGACAGTCACTTAAAAAGTCCTTCATGATTTTCACGGTGCTAGAAAAATAGTGCTCTCTAGGTAGTGTAAAAATTGACTGAAAATGATGTATCAATGTAGACAGACCTTAACTGCTTTCTAAATTGCTTATGGCTTGTATCTGCATTATAGGGAAATCAGAAGCGTCTGCATACTTCTGTGAGGTAAACAGAAATGTTAACATCTGAAGCACTGGACCAGAAAAAAAGTATTAGAGTCAGGACAATGAGACTACAGATGTTAAGAAGCTCACAGATGTTGTGACAGAGACCATGCGTTTAACAAGGTATACAGGGTTTACACTCAACCCACTGAAAACCATGCACCTGAACATCAGGAATATGATCAAATAAGTCACACTACATAGGAAAGTAAAGACAAAGAATAGCATGTAGAGTCCATGCTATAAGATTCATAAGTACCCTTTATAATAGGGAGAATGAGAAGATGCCGCCATCTGAAGGAAGAAAATTAATACTGATAATTATCTCTCAGCCAACCAGTTACTATAATATTTACATACTAGGGGATAAACTTACAGAAGCTGTTTTAACCTAGAAAGATCTAGACAGTCTTCAGCAGGCAGGTTATCTTTTCCTTTGCCTTCAGGAGTATCCGGGAGTTCAAGCACAAAACAAAACAGTTGCAGCTAATAAATATACAGTCAAACAGAAGTATATAAAATTTAACCTTGACTCACAGAGTGATTTTAACTTTTTAAACATGTTTTCATTTTAGTTATATATAAATAATAAGGCAAATAATTTACCTTTGATTAATATGTGAGAAAACAAACTATATGTAAATGACCTGAAGATTCACACTTTACCCCAAAACTGAGATTCAAACTCACTACTCCTAATCCTTAACATTTTACTAAACCAGTGAGGAATGCTCTGAAACCCAGGGATTGTTATATACTCTAAATATGCTCTCAATATGGCCTTTAATGTAACTTCAGGAATCATGCTCATTTCAGAGACAGGAAAATCAAGAATGCTTCCACAGAAATAACAGCTCTAAGCACAGAGCAGATGATGGCAGAATCAAAGCTGAATAGGTTGCAGAAGTAGAAATAAACAACTTGGTGGTAGTGCAGGTACTTGCTACAGGTTAGATGAAAAGGAGCAAGGAGATTAAATTCTAAGGGTTTGAATATAATGCCATAAAATTTAAATAATTATAAAACTCATTTCATTCAATATTATTTATCATGCAATCTAAACATTCAAAGACAGAAGATTAAAATTCAAGCAGAAAGGGCACCAAAACAAATGAGGTTTTGCATTTTAGTAGCTAAAGATTCCACTCAAAAGACAAAATAAACTTGAATAAAACGTCCCTTTACAATAAAATTATTAAAAGAATTGTATTGCCATCACACAAGCTTCTGTATTTTCTGAGTTTGGGCAAAATCAAAAATTCCAGATAATAAAAAATCAATGTTAAGTACAATTGCAGTTTTATATTCTGTAGTAAACTTTATATATACATATATACAAAATAAATATGTGGTTAATAAATATTTTGTTTTCTTTTCCTTGATTACTCTGCCAAATATTTCCCACCTCTTCCCTAGGCCTAAGCCTGTGTAAAAACTCTTCAGGAAAAATTAAAAAGGGTGTCATTCATCAAACAAAAATAAAAACAAATCAAATCAGGATCTAGGAGTTTCAAATATTCATTTGGGGGAAATTACAGGGAGTTTATATTCATTATCTTACATGTTTCACAACAACCTTAAAATATGGGGCTTTGTGGCTCTATATTATATATATGAAATCTAAGCTCTAAGAGTCACTTGCCTAAGATCAATGTTTATAATTGTCAAAGGTGGTCTTTAAACCCATTAGTCTAGCCACAATAGCTAAGTAATTTCTTCTAACTTAATAATCTACTGTAAATTTGTTACAATTAAACAATATTTAATTTAATAATAATTATTATGGATTTTAAAATGGATAGAATACGTTTTTAATATTTCCAAATGAATTTTTTACATAAAAATTTGTGAAAAAATTTTAAAATTTACCTCAGAATCAAAATCAGTGTTTCTACTTGTACTTAAACAATGATTAAAATAATGATTAAAACTTGTTTCAAAGTAGCTTTGATTGTCTGTTTACCTGTCCAACAGCTCTGTCTCTTTCCAAGGAGGTCAGCATTTTCTCCTTCAGTAAAGCATGGTGCTTCTCATGTAACACCCTTATAGTTGGTTCATAGGATGCATAATGTAACTTCAACCTATAAAAAATAAAAGGACTGTTGCATCTTAAAGGGTAAAAGAATTAAATAAGTGATTCCCATCTAACATCTGAACTGATTTTCTTTTATTTTTTGAAGGAGGAATAAAAATGACTAACTATATAAAGGTCAATACACTAGAGCCAAGAAGCACAGTAAGCATTATTTAGCATGCCATTTCAATGCAAAAACCTGGGGGTGAGGAGTGAGATAAGGGAGGAGAGGAAAATACCACATTTGCCTTCACTAGTTTTCTATTTCCTATTAGCACCTTTTGTTGTATTTAAGTATATACTCAGCAGATTGCTTCAATTCTTTGAGATTTAAGAAACTGCAGTTCCTTTAATCAATTCGGAAATAATTTTCACAAAACTAAGACCACAAATAATGGATGAATAAACAGAAAGTATCATTCATACCAAAACAAAGGATGGTCTTGAAAACAAGACAATGTTAAGTATAAAAGTATTTTGATATGTAAGTTAATACTACTGAACATGTGATACAAAATCATTAAAATCTATCTTATTTGAAAATGACCACAAAATATTAATATTTGTAATTGAAGTATAATGTACATGAGGTAAAATTTACAAATCGTCAGTGTTCAAAGAGTTTTGAGAACTATGTGTACTCATGTAGTCCACATTTATAATATCTCAGAAAATTCTGGACTTTATACATTTGGTATCATAGAATATGTTTTCTTTGGAAATGCTTCTTTCACTCAGCATAATGTCTTTTAGATTTCTTGTTGTCTTATATATCAGTACCTATACTTCATTCCTTTTTACTGTGAGTATACTTCCTTGTATTACATTCTCTGATATGATATATTATTCTGATGATGAAAATCTGAGGTTAGGATATCAGAACTAATGCTGCTCTAAATATTTTTATCCAAGTCATGCAAGACACTTTTGATCACAGATCTTCATTTCTTTTAGATAAATACCTAGAAGTTGAATTGCTGAGTTGTAATTTATACTTCCAATAGGAATATGTGATGGTCCTGGCTACTCTTTGCCAACAGTTTTGTAATAATCAGCCTATCTGTGGTTTATAATTTTAACGTACTTTCAAATAATCAATATTTTACTTTACAGTTTTGTCTTCGTTTCTCCATTTCCTACTTTATTGATTTTAGCCATTTTTTATTTCATTTTTTCTATGTAATTTGCTCTTTTTTAAAAGATTTTAAGACATAAAAAGATTACATAACTGATTATAAAACTTCTCCTTTTTAATACAGGCATTTAAAGCTATCAGGTTTAAGCTGCTTTTGCTACATTCCACAAATTTTTATCTGTTGGATTTTTGATCACTCAGTTCACAATATTTTCCAATTTCCTTTTTTGACTCATGGGTTATTTGAAGTTCAAATTATTTTCTAATTTCCTTCCTGGATTCATGGATTCCTTGAAGTGCATTAATTAATTTCTAAATATTTTGGAAACTACTAGATACCATTTTGTTGTTGATTTCTAATTTAATTTGGTTTTGTCAGAAAATATTCTTTGTGCAATTCAATCCTTTGAAATTTAAAGAGACTTCATTTATTGCTCAATATATATTTTGGTAAATATTCCATGTACACCTGAAAAGTTCAAAACAGAATTCTAGAAATATTAATTATGTTTAATTGATTGATGGTGCTACTCTATAAACTTAAGAGAATTTGTCTATATTTTCTAATAATTATAAAGAGTCTTAAAAATCTCCAATTATAAATGTAGAAATAACTTTTTTCTTACAATTGTATCAGATTTTGCTCCATGTATTAGATTCATGAATATTTAATATGTTTTCCTGATGAATGGACCCATTTAAAATAAAATGTCCCCATTTATTTCCCTAGTTCTCAGGATTGATTCCCTGAGTATGTTAACTCTCTAGTCCCTTTCCCCAGCCACTATAGGTTCACAGAGGTATCCCCCACCCGTTTCCTGGATGAACTGAATGCTTCACCTGTGGTACAAGATGCTACAGAGGCTTCTCTCTTCCCCATGGTTAATAGATGCCCCTCTGGAAGTGCCCCTACCTCCTCTCCTGAATGCTAAGCTGATACTGTGACAAGAGAAGATAGAGACTCTGTATCTAAAATGCTACAAGAATTAGTCAGCAAACACTGATAGGAATCAGAACACTCATAATGGTTTGAGGTACTTGAAAAAAGGGTTAGAATATAAGATTGGACAAACAATAATTCATTTACTGTGGAGCATTTTCTTTAGAAAACTGACTTAACCACATAGTAAGAACTCCAGGGAATGGGATAAATTAAATGCTAGGACACACCTTAGGAATTTCAAGAAGTGGGTGCCAACACTCATCAAAGTAAAATGCCTGAGCTGCCCTGGTAGCCAGTATAGAAGGACTCCATAACATTCAAGAAATTTTCCACCTTATAATAGCCTCAGTTCTTCTACAAAATTGTCTATGGCCATTTACTTCAGTGATTATACCTGTTGGAAGTTTCTGTTGATATCCAGAAACCCAAAGTGAACATTATGATCCCTCTATTAGAATGGAAGTCAACAGAAACAAGATACTAAGTGGAGTCCTGGCTAAAAGATGGCTCACAGTTAGCTTATTTAGTCCAAATATCCATCAAGTGGTCAATTTAAACATTCCTGAGTGAATAATTTGAACTCATTCTTGGCAACTGAAGTAAGTTAGCAGTAGAATCAGAAAGTCCAACTCCTCTTCTAGGATTCCAAATACAAACATCATGGACCACTTGATAATGACCCACAGGTTATTTTTTCAGTTTCTTCTTTTTGATGCTTTGATAATTATTATATAGCTTTTTTCCTTTATGCTTCAGCTTCATTATTTTCTATTTTCCTGTTTTTATGTTCACTCATCACTTTGTTGACAATGTCTAATCTGCCAATACAAACTATTTATGAATTGTTCATAGCTAATATTATGCCCTTCAGTTCTAGAATTTCCACTTGGCTCTTCATTTATAGTTTTATGTCACTGTTGAAATTTCCCATCTCTTTACACATTATAATCATTTTCTTTAAAACCCTAAGCATATCATAACAGCTGTTTTAAATTCCTTATCTGATAATTTTATTGTTTCTGTCCTCTCTAGTTCTGGTATTAATTCTAACTGTTGAGAGTACATGATTTTCTGCTTCTATTTTTCTATACAGAGATACATTGGTATATATTTATCTATTTATTCACTCTATGTTGCACATATACATAGTTGTTTGAATTTTGTCATCTTTTAGACAAATTAACTTTATCTGCCTGAAAAACTCTCTAAAAGATGACAAAATTCAAGCAAATTAACTTTATCTGTGAAAAACTCTCTAAGGATTGAGCTTGAGCCTTTCAGAGCTTGTCACATTACTTTTAAAATTTTCTTAGGGCAAGTCTAAAATATGCCTTTTCTAGGACTGGTCTAAACCTATTTCTATGGCATGGCTTATTACAGGTCTTACTGAATGTTCTGAGTATTTATTAAGGATCTGTTATCACTGTTCAGAACTCTTGCATCTATTGCATCTTCCAGCACTGTCCAGCCTCTGAAATCTCTACTTTGTTCACAGCTTCCCCAGAGCTGATCTGCCAGGTTTCAGATTCTCTTCACTTGTATTTCTACAAGTTAGTGTTTTGGCCAAAAACTAAAGAGAACCATAACAGATATTTCCTAAGTTCCTTTTCATGTACACCCTTCCTTTTGTGTATAATTGTCTGAAAATTCCAGCTCCCTCTGCCATCAAGAACTATGATCTCTGCTTCCTCAGCTCAGCAATGATCACTGTGTCTGCTTGTATTCTATCTTCTCACGCTGTGGTCTACAAAATGCATTCAGGAAGAAATTGGGTTGATCACACTGCTCAGTTCATATGTTTCCCTTTTCTTAGACATCACAAATACTGCTTTGCTGATTTTCTAATATCTTAAAACAACTGACTCCTATATTTTGTCGAGTTTTGTACTCTAGGACCATTTGGAAGGTTAGTTCTATAGTAATTATTCTGATATGACCCAAAGCATATGGGGTATCATTATTTTTTCTATTGAAATATTAAAATGGTAGCCTTCATTTTATTCAATACAATTTTCATTAAATTATTTATAAAACTCATTGATTTCTAAATCATACTTCATTTGTGATAGTAATACAACTTAAATATTGAAGTAGTTATTACACATTTAATGTGTGCTAAATCAACCATACTCATAAAAGAGAGAAACAAAAATAAAAAATTTATGTAGTATGTACAATTCCATTTTCCATTTGTGTTTATGTGCTTAGCATATATGTACTTTATTATATACCTCCAAAACAGTATACATTTATAAACACATATTCAGGTACAAAATTGTATACCAAAAAAAGGTGTGCTATAATTTATGGACAGTTAAAGAAATACTTTGTGAGAAATATTGAAGACAAACTCTCCCCTTATTTAACTCTGGCATTGTTTTGGCCTATATATAAGATGTCCCCCAAAAACTCACAAGTGAGACAATGCAAGAATATTCAGAGGTGAAATGATTAAGTTATGACAGTTTTAATTTAATCAGTGGATTGATTAATTCACTTATATAGATTTACTAGGCAGGTATAACTATTGGCAGGTAGGGTGTGGCTAGAAGAAGTAGGTGACTGGGGTGTGCTTTTGGGGTTTATATTTAGTGCCTGGTGAGCAGAGCTCTGTTTCCTGATTGCCATGTTCTGAGTTGCTTTTCTCTACCTCACCCTTCTGCCATGATATTCTGATTCTCCTCAGGGCCAGAGATATAGGATTGGCCAACCAGACTAAACCTTTAAACCATGAGCCAAAATCACTTTTCCTACTCTAACTTGTTCTTATCAGGTCTTTTAGTCACAGCAATGCAAAGCTGACTCAAAAAGGCATCTAACTCATTTATGAAATGTGGCCTTGACTAAACTTTGTTCAGAGAATTAGAAACACAAAACACTACTGTCATATAACATGCAAACAACATTCAGAGAAACTGTCCAATTAGTATGTCTGTTCTGTAAGTTCCATAGAACTTCATAATTAGTATACAATTTCTGTATTTGATAATGATAATTCTCAAAATACATACATCATAATAAGACATACATATTAAATCTCAGTGTAGTTTTATTTTGAATTTTGAATTTCGCAAATTGCTAGAGATGTTGAACAGTTTCATGTATTTATTGAACGTGTATATTTCTTCTTTTGAGAAGTGTCTGTTTAGCCCTTTGGCCATATATCGATTAGCTTGGGGGTTTCTGTTTGGTTGGCTGGTTGGTTAGTTGGTTTTTGGTGTTAGGCTTTGAGTTCTTTTTATATTCTAGAAATAGATGCCTTATCTAAGGTACAGGTGGCAAAGATTTTCTCCCATTCTATAGGCTCTCTTCTCACCCTCTTCTTTCCTTTGCTGTGAAAAAGCTTTTTAGTTTTATACCATCCAATTTATTGATTTTTGATTTTAATTCTTGAGCTTTAGGAGTCTTATAGTAGATGGAGCATTTCTAGTATAATGCCTAGGTCTTTAATCCATTTTGTGTTCTGTGCAATTTGATAGGGGTTAAATTTCATTCTGCTACATATGGATTTCCAGTTTTCCAAGCACCATTTTTGAAAAGGATATGTTTTCACCAGTGTATGTTTTTGGTGCCTTTGTCTAGTATGAGATAACTGTATTTATGTGGGCTTATCTCTATGTCTTCTATTCTGTTACACTGGTCTTCATGCTTGTTTTGGTTCCAATACAATGCTGTTTTTGTTACTATGACTCTGTAGTATAATCTAAGGTCTGGTATTACCTCACTCCAGTCAGAATGGCAGTTATCAAGTATATAAGCAACAATAAATGTTGCCAAGGATGTGGGGGAAAAGGTACACTCATACTTTGCTGGTAGGACTGCAAATTTAAGCCACCACTCTGGAAAGCAATATGAAGATTCCTCAAAAAATCTGGAATGGAACCACCATTTGACCCAGTGTACCACTTCTCAGTATATACCCAAAAGAGTTAAAAATTAGCATACTACAGTGACATGGCTATATCAATGTTAATCACAGTTCAATTGACAATAGTGAACCAACTTCAGTGCCCTTCCACAGTTGACAGGATAAAGAAAATGTGGTATATCTACATAGTGGAATATTACTATAATATAAAGCCATAAAGTAAAATGACTTTATGACATCTGCCAGTAAATGGATGAACTTAGTGACTATCATGCTAAATGAAACAAGCCAATCCCCAAAACCCAAAGATTCAATGTTCTCTCTGATACGTGGATGCTAACACAAAACAAGGAATTGGGGGAGAATAGAAGTTCAGTGGATTACACAAAGAAGGATGAAGGGAAGGGATGAGGCATAGGAACAGAAAACACAGTGGAATAAATCTGACATAATTTTCCTATGTATATATATGAATACACCACAGTGATATCTCCACATTATGTATATCCATAAGACTAGGATCCTAATTAGAATAAGATATATTCCATGTTTTTATAAATATGTCAAAATTGACTCTACTGCCATGTATAACTAAAAGAATTTTTTAAAAATTCATGTTAAATGGGAAATACTGTAAAAGTTATTATCAAATTAGCTGAACAATTTACCAAAAAAAGTTCCACTTTTAATGATTGAAAATGAAAGGAAATATGGATATACAATTGAAATATTCGGGTAAAATATGACACAAAGAATTCAAATTCTAATTTAGCCATGTATCACAAGTGACTAACTTTGATGACTCATTTTTTTTATGTGACTCTTACGGCATAAATGAAGTTTTGTTCTAGGCACTTAGGAAAAGCACACTAGTGATTCAACAGATGGTAAAATGGAAACATTATTCCTAATGATTAAATGAAGAAATAAAGGCCATCTGAGTATAGAGCAAGTATGGATGTATCACAAAGTAATATGGATTTTTTTTATTCACCTGAAGTAATAAAATATGAACAAAGGTAGAATCTAAATTGATAAAAATATTTATGGAATTAATTATAATAGAGTTTCCCTTAAACATAGTTGGATGTTTAATAAGTATTATATATTTTAAATATAAAGACTTAGCTGGCAATTGTATTTCAGGGTACAGATACTTACATCATCACATAAAGTTCTATTAGATAGCCTGGCCCTAGACCAAGCAAAAGAGAAGTTTAAGACTATAAAGTCCATTTTTAGTTTCTTATGGAAAGGAAAGTAGGTTGTGTGGAAAAGTAAATCTAAATAATGTCTTCAGAATAATTTCTGAAAGTGTCATCATAAATTCAAGGTCATTTAGCATATCCTCCTATCCTGCAAAGCCACATCTGCAATTTGCTCTTTATGCTTACAATTTGGTAAGCATGGCATGCTCTTACATGACTTGTTGCCTTTGCACAGAATATACCAAGAGCACTCTGCTGCCTCCACTCCCTCATTGTATTTACTATTACTTACACTTCACTATTTAGTTCCTCTGAAAATACATCCTGATCCCTCTCACACTTTAGTATCATTGATATGACTACCCTCCTGGTTGATTCAGCAACAACTGTATCAACCATCACAACCATCATACACTGCAGAGGGGCCTGGAGTCCTTGACAGCAAAGGCCTAAATTTATTCATTCTTGAGTTTTAAACATATAACATAGTATTTGGTACATACTATATGCTCAGTACATATTGAGTGAATAACTTTATCAAAAAGGTTCTGTCATATTCAAATTACTTAACACTAATAACTTTAATATATATGCCAACAAATATTGTCAGCTTACCCTTTGAGGTCATTAATTAATTTATTTTTTTCTTGGACTATTCTCTTGTGATGCATTCGATGAAAATCACGTTCTTTCTGAGTTTTCAGCAGATCTTCTCTAGCCTTGCTGAAAAACATTAATAATAATAATTTAAAAAATCATTCCTACTTCCTTTCTGCAAAATTGTTAAGTATTCAGTTCAAATTCAGCCTTGGGCAATTCAAAAGATAACTGAACCATAAAGAGTCCACTATAATTCTCACTGAATTATCACATGCAACATATTTTGTATGGAGGAAATAATGTGAAAGGGGGTAGACGATGAAAGGATGAAACTTATAGTTTCAAAAATATGACTCACTCACATTTAACTAAATTAAAATTAACATTTTGCTGCCATATACATTCAAATAAAATTCCACCTACTTTTAAAGAGAATTTGTTCAGTGTACATATTTGAAATACAAATTTTAAAAAGTAATTCAAAATAATTATGAATAAAATAAAAACTCCATGGAATTTAATTCTAAACTTCCTACATAGAGGATTAGGAGAATATACTATATTTATTTCTGAAAAGAAAACATATATATTCTGAAAAACAAAAAATTAATTCTGTTAATTTGTAGTTAATTCTTATAAGAAATATATACCAGTTGATCCATTATTAGAAATAATTGGTGAGCTTATTAAAATATTTTTCTGAACCTATCAGAGAGCTGAAGTGACAAAACAACCAAGTATCATGAAATCCAAATACAGGTGAGCCAATTCCATAAAAGATATGAATATGAACTATAGCCAACAGGGAGAAAGAATACCAGAAATCAGATGAAAGTTTAAAGTATCAAGTATATCATCTGAGGGTTAGGGCAATTTGAAATAGCTAGGAAATTTAAACTCACTTATAAACTCTTTCCTGCAGGTCTACATTGAGTGTTAGGGGCAGGCAGGGAGACTAAAGAGAGCTTCTTTATGTGGTGATGTCATGCAGGCAATAACTAGTGGATGCTGGGGAAAAGGCACAAAACACATAGGCCCCTGAGGAAAGGGCAAAACACATATCTCTGGGGCTGAGGCTGCAGCACTGTAGCTCAGTGGCAGAGCACTTACCTAGTATGTGTGAGGACTGGGTTTGATTTTAGCAAGACATAAAAATAAACAAATAAGGACTGGGGATATAGCTCAGTTGGTAAAGTGCTTGCTTCATATGCACAAGGCCCTGGATTCAATCCCCAGCACCATAAATAAATAAAAAATAAAAACATAAAGGCAAGCTATCCATGTCTATAACTACAAAAACAATAATAATAAAAAACCCACACATTTCCCCATACTAAGTAGAGGTCTCCTACTCCTAAAGCAGGGTATAAAACTACCACTAAGAGCAACTACAGATACAAGGAAGACTTAAGCTACAATACTGAGGAGACCAGAAGAGTCAAGAATGCTGAGGAAGTGGCTCAGGCCACATAAAGCCTCCCTAAAAGTGAAGATGAACTAAACCAGAAAGAAATTCTCTGACACCTCCATGAATTAGAGAGCAGTAAATAAAGAGCAGGAGATTGTAAGAGGGAATGGAAAAAAGAAATGGTTGGTCTTTCCTGGGGAAAAGGTTTAGAGAATAGATAAATTGTTTTCAAAACAGAACAATGAATCTGTTGTTGTTGTTGTTTTAAATCTCTGCATTAAGAATGATGTATGAGATCCTAGAACACGGATTTCAAGCCCATATTTTAAGTGTTCTAAAGAATATCCTTATAGGTATATGAAAACAACTTAGCTCTACAGTGTCAACTTGAATGAGAGTTTATCTCAAAAATGATACTATATTTGTTTTAGAACATTTGTTAAAAATCAAATATTATGTCTCCATAAATAATCAGCTCACAGGTCCAGTTGCTTCATTAGAGTAATACAGTATAATAATTCCATACACAATATTGAAAATTCTTCATAGCAATGTGACCTTGGGAAGCTATATAACTTATGTATAGTATTTACAAAATAGCTGTACAATGGACTTGTATGTATATTCAACTGAATAATTCAGGAAAATGGCTTATGGCCTTGTGTATACTAAGTATTCAATAAATGTTACCATCATAATCATAATCACATAATCATCATCATATTACCACTAGTGTTTAGTATAGTAGAATGATATAATTATTCCTATAATAGGAGGTATAGCAATAATTAGTTAAATCTACTCCATTGAACTAAAAATATCAGGATTAATGATTATTAGTAACACTATCTTTTTAAAAAGTAAATTAAACTTTAATGAACATCTACTTTAAGTCCACTAAAATATTTTCAATAGATTGATGAATTATATAAATACACATTTCATTTATTTTATCCAAAATGTAAACCCACAATAGGTTAAAAAATACTTGTAAAAAATAATGCTCTATATTTCTTAACCAGAACCACAACGTGCATTGCATCAGCTCCCTTTTTTAATACACATTTAGAAACCTATTTGTGCTCATCCCAGGAAGGAAAGCATAGGAATTGATTGAAGTATTAGACCTTAAAGTTTTTCTGACCATTAAATTGGTTTTCAGGGACTTGCTTTCTGTCTGCACAAATGAAGTCTACTCCGTAAAACAATTTAAATTCATTTCATGGTGATGCTTCTCCTATTATGACCTTCCTGCTACCCAACTACTTAATAAAAGAAAAATAAAAGTTGTGCTAAAGGATAATTGTAAATATTCACATAAGCAACTAATATTTTAACTATATAGGATTTCTTCACCACATTAGTAGATGGGAAAACATCTTTGTGTTTAAAAAAAAAAAAAACTTTCATTAACACAGACACAAACATTGAGATTCTATTTCAAATACAATGAAGTCATTCAGTGAAACATTCTACTTGAATTTATATTTCATAAAGTATATAATTCAGTTATGCTTTGTCTTAATGAGATGATATGATGACTATCTAACCTCCCTATTCCAGGAAACCAGCATGGCAAAGTCTAAAATTCAAGGATATAATATTAAGATCTACATATTGTTATCTTACTATAAAATTCCGTTATTCAACATAATATGAATATGATTCAGAAGCATACTCTTAAAAATTTTTAAATGAATATTCCTGGAGAAATCATTGTATTAACTGAATAGTTTAATTCTTTTGGAATGATCAGTTAAAAATAAATTTATTCTGTTATCATTTGGCTAAATAAACCAAAAATTTTCTTATTGCACCAACATATTTCATCTTTGCTATATTTTTTCCTTATGTGCAATCTTGAAACAAAGTAATTTCTTAAAACAATAATTATACAAATACCACAATATTTCATTATCTTCAATGGGCCTTAAATGAATAAATTTAACCCATTAAAATTAATATTTGGAATAACTGTTGAACAGCCAAACAGAATTCAGCCAAATTAGAGGAAACCTCTTATTATAATCTTAATAAAAAAGAAAGGGGTATACCCATGTCCAGAAAAAAATACCTTAATTTAACAAGCAATTACCTAAACACTAAAGCATGAAATTTTATGGGCTACATTATTATCTTTATTTTCACAGTGTTTGTTTCTGAAAGTCATTAAATTAAATGGATCTTCATAAAAGCTGTGCATTCTTTGACCTTGTATAGAAGTCAATTTTGTAAGTGAAAGCAGAGTCTTTTAGTAAAGAAACTATTTTTTTTCTCAATGTTAATTGCTATTTAATTTCAATTTTTTTCATGCCTATATTTTCTGGTAGAAGGTAATCATAATATTTTATTATTTTTAAAGTCTTACTTTTCCATTTTTTAGTTAATAATCTCAGTCAGTATTATTTCTTGCCAAATCTTCAGGGCTCTCAATAGACCCTTTCTGATCCACATTACGTGTTCTTAATGTAAGAGCCCAAAAAAGAAAGATAGTACATTAAATGAGTCAAGACTTAACTTGATGGAATGTTGCTTAAATTTCTGTCATGAAAAGAAAATGTTGCCTACTTCATAAAAATGTTATCAAGTCAGCAAAAAACATCAATTAACTATTCTAAATTTATTAAAAGCTTAACTACACAGCTAAATGCTATCAACACATAGTCACTTAAGTGCCTACTATGTGCTAGGCATACTGATAGGCCCTGGGGATATAATGAACACAAGAGCCAGTCTTTGTTATATAGAGCTCACAATCCAACAGGAAAAAATAGATAATAATTAAATGTTAAAGTCATAAATTTATTCTTTTATTAATACACAACATTAAAGGTAACTTTAATAAATGGATGGATATGCCATGTAAAGGGAACACTAAACCTTGGGAATCTATTGATCCTCCTCCTCTCAATATATGTGTACACATACACATGCATACACACACTCTCCCCAAATTAAGTTATATATTCAACTCAATCTCAATTCTAACCTCACCAGGTCTTTCTATGGAAACTTGTAAAGCAATTCTAAAGTTTCTCTTTTTTATTTATTTATTTATTTTTTTTAACTACACGACAGCAGTGGAAAGCATTACAATTCTTATTACACATATAGGGCACAATTTTTGCAATTCTAAAGTTTCTATGAAAATACAAAGAACCTAGACGAGTCAAACTATATTGAAAAAGAACAAAGGTGGAAGACTAACAATATCTGACTTTAAGACTCAATTAAAACTAAAATATTTAAGAGTATGGTGTTGGTATAACGATAAGCAAATATATAAATGAAAAATACAGTCTAGAAACAGACTCAGCCGTTATAAGGTCAACTGATTTTCAACAAAAGTGCCAGAAGAAATTCTTTACCTCACACTATATACAAAAATTAGCGACTGAAATAAAATTCTAAATCTTTAAAGGTTTTAGAAGAAAGTATACAAGAATACTTCTGTAACCTAAGGGTAAGCAGGTATATATATATTAGACCGGACATTAACAGCAATGTAATAAAATAGATACAATTAAATTTCATCTAAATTTAAAACATCTGTCCATCAAAAGGAGGCATTTAGAAAATGAAGAAGCAAGCCATGGCCTGAGAGATAATATTCACAATTTTCTGACAAAGGACATGTATATTGAAGATACAAAGAATTCTTATAATTAAATGGTGAGAAAAACAAACCTATAAAAAATAAGCAAAAGTCTTAAAC